CAAATTTAAATTTATAATCCAAAGACCCTCTTTGTAATTAAGTCTTAATATTTTTATCATTGCACAGTGACAGTGGTTCCAAGTTTTCCTCCCATTCTGTTTTTTGTAATGAATTTTAAACAATACTTTTATGAATGTACATTCTTTTCATGCTTTCTGTTTGTACAAATGCTAATGATTTACCAAATTTCAATACAGGGGGGTAACTTTGGGTTATTTCAGCCCTTATATATCTAAGTTTATTTTGCTTCCACTTTCATCGCATAAACAATTTTTATTAAAATGTTTCAAAATCCTTACTAATACCATTCCTTACACCTTCTATTCACCCACTCATTCCCTCCCACCCCCCACTACCCTGCCGGGATTTTCCTAGCAAGTTATCACTTCCTTATTGTCTTAAGGCAGATTATCAAAATAACAGTTGACCAATTTTGGGAATTAGGCTAACACATTTTGTTGAATAAGAGACGGATAACTAACTATTTCTTATCCTGCAGAATGTTCACCTGATGAATTACTTGTTCTTCTTATAATTTCCTACTGTTACTTTCACTTTACTTCTTAGAGAAACCTTTTGAAGTATGTTTAACTAAATTCCCAGTGCCTTATAAGGGGTTTGCAAGAGGGTCATGATTTGAGTATGGAATGTGTGGCTCAAAGTAGTTGATCAGAAATTGATGAGGGGGTGCGCCTCGGTGGCTCAGTTGGTTGAGCGTCCGACTTCGGTTCAGGTCATAATCTCGCGGTTCGTGAGTTCAAGCCCTGAGTTGAGCTTGGGCTCATTGCTGTTATTGCAGAGCCCTCTTCAGATCCTCTGTCCCCCACTCTCTCTCTGCCCCTCCCCTGGTCACACACACACACACACACACACACACTCCCTCTCTCTCTCTCTCTCTCTCTGTCTCTCTGTCTCTGTCTCTGTCTCAAAAATAAACATTAAAAAAAAAAATTGATGAGGGAGCTAGATAACTTTCTAACTTTTTAAACTAATGTCTGGGGATTGTCCCCATCTTTGATCTCCCCACTGCTAATCTTGATCTCCAGGAACTTTCTGTAGGATTGTTACATAATTGTTCTTGCATACAAACCTCACTTTGAAGTAGACATGCTATGAAAAGTTTAGGGTTTACAGCTGAGAGAACTCTTAATTCTTGTCTAGTCCAACACGCATTTTACAAAAGAAGATTCAGAGCTAGAGAGTTTCAAATATGCAGTGAATTTCAAAATTAGGGTAAAATCCCAGCTCTCTTGATTCTGCCCATTATTCTGTATGATCTATAAAAGAAAATTTGAGAAGTTATTTTTTTCTGATACAAATTATTTTTGACTTTGAGTACCCTTGGACTTTAAAAGTGATTCACTTGCCTATCGCATTATGGCATAAAGCGAGGTTTACCTGATTGTTCATTGTTATCGTTAATGGCAGTTTAAAAATCAGTTTATTATTCATCATCTCTCCTCTGTCCTACTTGCAACTGGTCACTTAGGCAGAGCAGGTAGTGTCCGGATCTGAAATGAGAGCAGTACAGTGAGAGGCAGGACTCAGGTCTACCGATCCTTTCTTTCCGCTCTTCGGGCACTGTGTTGTAGCCAGTTTATTTGGACATTGACGCGTATGGCAAAGATGTTTTGTCGTGTTGCTTTACAGTGTATGGGTTTTGGATAGAGGGACAAAAACATTTTCCCATCCCTTACGCCTCTGAGCAGAGTTTCTTGCAGGTTTGGAAAGGTACCGTGGCCTGAAACAGGTACCATGGGAGACGTGTCCTTTTTGCTTCAACTCAGGTATTCCTTTTACGGAATGGAATTCTGAACCCAGAATATTTTTTCTTTTCTATTAGATTGCTCAGATTCCATTCTGTGGGGAAATTGACTGTGAAGACTGGATCAAAAAGACCACTGCTAGGTAAATGTAGTTAACAGAACTTGTGAGTATTGCAGTGAAAAAGAATGGGAATTTAGAGCATAAATGAGTGGAATTCTTAATTTGTTTTTAATTTCAGAGATCAAGATCTTGAACCTGGGGCTCCATCCATGGGAGCTAAAAGTCTTTGCATCCCCTTCACACCGCTCCGTGAGCTGCAGCCGGGAGCCAGATGCGTCTGTGGCAAGAACCCTGCCAAGTTCTATACCTTGTTTGGTCGTAGTTACTAAGGGATAAAGCAAAACTCCTATCTCCAACCCTCCGCACTTTTTAAAAAAATTGATATTAATATCTTCCCAGATATAGACAGTTTTATGATTTTTTAAAATAAAAGTTCTAATGGGAGGTCACATGAGACACAGACCCCTTCTTCTTAGGCCTAAATTAACAGTGGGAAAAAGGCTTTTCTGTAAACAACCCCAGTAATAAATATCATGAATTAATACTGTTTTATGTATTCATTTATTTCTGAAATACATGATTTATGTACCACAGGACGTCCTTACAAAGAGATGAAGAAAATTGGGAACCCAGTGTCCCTCATGTTTCAGACCTCGAACAAGCAGTCCTCTCGTTTCTTGTATGTTGAAGTCCTTCTCTTCCTACACTCCTTCTCCTGAATCTAAAATTGTCCTAAATCTTTCTGTTTAGAAGACAAAACAAAACCACAAATGGACCGAAAAACAAAGAAACCCCATACCTTTCCCGTGAGCTTCTTCCTCCCTCTCGTTACTGCTAGTTTCTGTGGGGTCTTCACCAACAGGCCATGGTTTCTGAAGGAGGCATAACCCCCTCACTTCCGCTTCTTGTTTTGCACTTGTCTGCTCCCGCCCTGCCTCTGCCTCACCGCCATTTTCCCTGCGACCCCTAATGCCACTTCTGACCCAAGCTAACGTCTCAGTCTCTTGTCTTCCCATATCACTCTGCTGCGTTTCTGCTGCTATAAAACATTTCTTTTTTTTACTAAAATTACTCCTATGACTTGCCCTCCCACTCTGATTCTTTTTCTTAGTTCTTCCCTAGGCATTCCTAGGCTAAACTTCTGTACCTGGCCTGGCCCTTTTCTGGTGCTGCCTAGTCTACCTCCTCTAATCCCATGGTTTGACAGAACACAAATAGGATGACTCCAGCCAACATTCTTTCTCTAGGTCTGAGCTCTAGACCTTATTCCAGCTGCATCCTCAGGCCCCTCGAATGTTCCCATCATATTTTCAGGCTATTTGTCCCAAAACCCTCGTTTCACCGTCCACTCCCAGACCTGCTCTTCCTACAGTATTTCCTGCTAAAGGGCTTCACATTTCCGAAATGTACCTGGTAACCTAAACCAGAACCGGAGTCATCTTAGCCTCTCCAACACACCGTCTGCTGTGTTCATTTCACCAGCACAACATCCCCCGCCATTCCCACTCGTGTCTCCTGGGTCTCCCCTTTCGCAGATGCCTCTACTGCCTCGTGTCTGTTAACCTCTGACGTCAGTTACGTACACTGGCCTCCGGAGTTTTGTCTCAGGCGGGCCCCACATTGCCACAGGTGTTTTCTTTCTTAATGTACAATGTACCAAGATGTCTCCCTTCCCCTTAAAAGGCTTTTCAGGGCTCACCATCAGTAACAGAATAAAATATTAATGCTATAGCCAAGTCTGGTTCAGCCTATCTGACCAGTCTCTCTTCTTCAACCAATCCAGCAAAGCCCTATGCAACCTAACCATTTGGGGTTTCTTGTGAACAATGTGCCATTTCCCATCTCTGTCTCTGTCCCTTTGCCTGGAATGCCTTTTACTCATTTCTAGTCAACTAGGTAAATCTCTCTGGGGCTCCATTCCAAAACACTTTCCCACTTTGTAGTAATAAATACACCAATAAAAGGAATAAGCTTCAAAAGGACTTGAATTTTGAATCATGTTTTGAAGGATAAGTAGACTTTTATTATTTTTTTTCTGGGTGAACTTGTTTTATTTTTTCAAAGAAATAATTTTGCTTATTGAAAAGTTATACATACTCATTGCTAAAAAAGAAAATATAAATTAAAATAAGACCGTAAAAGTCAATTGGTAATTCTAAAACCCAGGTAAATTACTATTTGAGTATTGCATATTTACATGTCTAAGATTACTAGGCATACCATTTATAATGTTTTTTTTTTTTAATTCTAATTTTATTTTTTAAATTCACATCCAAGTTAGCATATAGTGCAACAATGATTTCAGGAGTAGATGCCTTAGTGCCCCTTACCCATTTAGCCCATCCCCCCTCCCTCAACCCCTCCATTAACCCTCTGTTTGTTCTCCATTTAAGAGTCTCTTACGTTTTTGTCCCCCTCCCTGTTTTTGTATTATTTTTGCTTCCCTTCCCTTACGTCCATCTGTTTTGTATCTTGAAGTCCTCATATGAGTGAAGTCCTATGATACGTGTCTTTCTCTAATTTCGCTTAACATAATACCCTCTAGTTCCATCCATGTAGTTGCAAATGGCAAGATTTCATTCTTTTTGATTGCCGAGCAATACTCCATTATATATATACACCACATCTTTATCCATTCATCCATCGATGGACATTTGGGCTCTTTCCATGCTTTGGCTATTGTTGATAGTGCTGCTATAAACATTGGGGTGCTTGTGCCCCTTCGAAACAGCACACCTGTATCCCTTGGATAAATACCTAGTAGTGCAATTGCTGGGTCATAGGTTCTATTTTTAATATGTCATTTGCAAACATCTCCCATTCTGTCGGTTGCCTTTTAGTTTGTTGATTGTTTCCTTCGCTGTGCAGAAGCTTTTTATTTTGATGAGGTCACCATAGTTCATTTTTGCTTTTGTTTCTTTTGCCTCCGGAGACGTGTTGAGTTAGAAGTTGCTGCGGCCAAGATCAAAGAGGTTTTTGCCTGCTTTCTCCTCGAGTATCTTGATGGCTTCCTGTCTTACGTTCAGGTCTGAAATCCATTTTGAGTTCATTTTTGTGTATGATGTAAGAAAGTGATCCGGTTTCATTTTTCTGCATGTCACTCTCCAGTTTTCCCGGCACCACTTGCTGAAGAGACTGTCTTTGTTTTATTGGATATTCTTTCCTGCTTTGTCAAAGATTAGTTGGCCATACGTTTGTGACTCCATTTCTGGGTTCTCTATTCTGTTCCATTGATCTGAGTGTCTGTTCTTGTGCCAAGGATAAGTAGAATTTTAATACATAGAAAAGGAAGGACATTCCAGGCAGAGGGAACAGCATATGCAAAACCTCATGGTTTTGGTATATGCTATGTGTGAGAACACAGCAAAACTGTTATTAAGTTGGTAGGAAATTATCAAAGCAGATTAAATATAGCATATCTTCAAGACTGATGTTTTGAGTATGTATTCATATAGATGAATGAGGTAAATACATAAGACACATTTCTGTCAGAATCAATTTCTTATTAAGCTATGGCAATACAGAATGCTTTATCTTGTTTTTTCTACCTTTAGTAGCTGTGTAAACCACCTATTCGTTTATAAAATGGAGAGACGTCTAATAGCTTCACCAGAGTTACTCTACCTTATAAAGTACTTAGAACAATGCCTAACACACACTAAAAAATAATAGCTAATGTTAGTTAATGACCTTACAGAGTCAACTGGAAGTTGCTCCTAATTTGTAGCTTTAATTAACAATAATTAGCCTCTGATTTTTTTTGTCCTGCAAACATAAATGCTTTAAAACGCAAGGTTTTTTTAGTGGATCCATGACAAAAGCCTGAAAAGTAGATCAGAAACTAATGACCACATTTTGTCCCATAGCCCAAGGCCATTTTGGAGGAAGTGGCAATCATCGGAGCAAAGACAAACCCCAGGCTATTTTTTGAAGCTTCAGATGAGTAGAACTAATCACAGAAAAGCTTGAAGTTTGCTGCTTTAAAGGTATTCACTATTTAAAGGAACCTCCAAATAATTATGTTGAGGAAGGAATCCTTCCTCCAAAATCTGCTTGTGATAAATTGCTTTCTTTCTCAAACTGAGGTTCAACTAAAATACCAAAACTTTTTCAAACATCTGAAGAGTGGTGGTGCTTTTCAAGAGGGTGCTAAACCTGAATCCAAGTGATATCCTTTAAGAAATGATCAGTATTTTACTTGCAGATGACAGCCATTAATTAGATACATGACCAACAGTCACAAAAGTGATCGTGTGCCTTGTGTTTGTTCCAACAAGAAGAAAACAAATAGGTCAAGGTATATTATTGCTGGCTGTGCTCACTAGGACCTGCTAGTGTATATTATAGGATAGCAATTTCTAGGTTCACCCATGGCTGTTCAAAATAGTTCCTAATGCCAGTAAATCATTTGACACCTTCATGAAAATTAGTAACAGCAACTTCTCTGGCTTCCTGCTGGGGAGGCTTTGAGGCTTGAGATCAGCAACAAGCAGAGAGAAGGCATTTTGACTGGAGGGTCTGTGCCTGTCCCCCTATTTGGTATCTGATTGTAGTTATAAATATTAGTCATCTGTCATAAAGCTGTGGTTTTCAGGGGGGTGTCAGGAGCATCAGAAGTTTGGGGAGGCAGCTACCGCTACCAAATCTTCGGCCTTTTGCTTGTCACTTTCGCCGCGTCTAGAAAATTCCAGCCATTTATTTAATAAATTTGAGCGCCTGCTTTGTGCAAAGTGCCTAAGCAGACAGCAGCAAGTAGAGCCAAACATGAGTTTTCCTCTTCTTGGCTCTATCTCCTTGAAGTTATCTAGTTCAGCTGCAAAAGCAGGCAATCGAGTGGACAGGGAGGTGGAGCAGGGAACTGGGGCTGAGCACTGTGAAGAGGGGGGCATTGCCTCGGTGACCCTCACGGAGACATGGCAGGATCATCCCTGCCCACAGCAGCGTGCTGACAACAACCCCTGTACTCAAGATGATAATAGCTGGAGAATGAGGTCCACCCGATCCTGCCACACCTCAGGCTTGAAATCACAGAGACAAACACATTCCCCTGGCTCAGCAGGCGATGTGAAAACGGTGCCTCCGTTTCACTTTACTGGAGGATTCAAGAGTTTGAAACATCCGTAGTGCTGAAATGATATAAAACTGTTTTAAAGGAGTCTCATGTAATGGGGATATCTCACAATATATTTTAGTTATGTTCCCGAAAGCAAACTTTGTGACTGGGAAGAATGTGTTGAATGAGCGAGGAGCTTGGGGGATATACAGGCTGGTGACGGTGCTAACAACAGAATTATGTGGTAAAAATGTCATTATACTGTATTTCCCTCATTTATTCATTCTGTCACTCTCCTGGACAATTATTTCCTACATTTTTCCCCTCAATTTTTCCAGATTTCCCCTTTCTGACTTCGAGTTGGTCGTCTCGATTTCGGTTTCATCAAGAAGATAGAGACAATAAGAATAGACCCACCAGGGGCGCCTGGGGGGCTCAGTTGGATAAGTGTTAGACTTTGGCTCAGGTCATGATCTCACAGTTTGTGGTTTCAAGCCCCGCAGTGGGCTCTGTGCTGACAGCTCAGAGCCTAGAGCCTCCTTTGGATTCTGTGTCTCCCTCTCTCTCTGTTCCTCCCCCACTCATGCTCGGTCTCAAAAATAAATGTTAAAAAAATTTTTTTAATAAAAAAAAAAAATGGACCCACCAGGACCTCCCACCACTGCATCTACCCTCTTGTGTGGGTACATGCCGTCATCTTCCCCAACTTGTCGATTCCCTATCCCTTTAGCCTGAAAATAAAGCTGTCTGTACTTGCCAGCTCCTGTTTCCCTTGTCTGTTCTGAACCCACTTCATTTGCCCTCTTGTTCAGGCCACCAGTGGCGTCCGTAATGTGAAATACGAGCCATCGCTTCCAGTCCTCCTCCCGTTTACTCTCAGCATTTGGCCCGGCTGATGCCTCCTCTTCTTTGAAACACATTCTTCCTTGGCCTTGAAAATACTATACCCTCCCATTTTCCCTTCCACCTCTCTGGTCCTTCTCTCTCATCTCTTCGTATTGCCTTCTCTTTGCAATTTTCTCTCATTTCCCTGGTGACCTCCTGCAGTATATTGTCAGCATTCAAGTTCATATATTCCTAGCCTATTCATCTCCCCCGAACTCCAAACTTTCTTACTTGACACCCTATGTAGCATTTCAGCCCGGCTGTCTAATAGATATACCAAACAACGTCATTTCTGCTCCTTGCTCCCCTACACCCCCAATCCTATAGCTGTCACCTTTGTCCTACTTCCATCTCACTTGCAACATCAGGCCACAGCCCTAATGTCACCTTGACTGTTCTCTTTCATACCTCTCATCCAATTGCCCAGCAAATGCTATTGGCTCTAACGACCAATGAGATCGAGACCTGAGCCGAAATCGAGAGTCGGATCCTTAATAGACTTGAACCACCCAGGCGCCCCCATCCTAACCATTTTTAAGTGTATGCTTCAGTGTTAAGTATATTTGCATTTTGGGGTAGCCAATTAGCAGAACTTTTCCATCTCACAGAATTGAAGCTATGTTCATTAAACAACTCCCTCATGTCCCCCTCCCCCCAGCCCCTGCAACCACCATTCTAACTTTTTGTTTCTATGAATTTGACTGCCTTCGATAGCTCATAAAAGTGGAATCCTTCAATATTTGTCTTTTTGTGCCTGACTTATTTCACGTAGCTTGGTGTCCGCAAGGCCCATCTATATAGTAACGTGTTAGAATTCCCTTCATTTTTAAGGTGGAATAATATTCCATTGTATGTATACATATGTGCACACACACACACTCCCACCACATTTTATCCTTTCATCTGTCAATGGACACGTAGCCTGCTTCCGTCTCTTGGCTGCTGGGAGTAGTGCTGTTATGATGCACAGACCCTGCTTTCAATTCCTTCGGTTTTATAACCAGGAAGTAGACTTACTGGATCAAACAGCAATTCTATTTTTCATTTTTTGAGGAACTGGCATACTATTTCTCATAGTGACCACACCGTTTAAAATTTCCTAGTAATTTTTCAACAAAGGGCTTTGCGCTTTCATTTGGTACCCAAGCCCATGGATTACGTGGCCGGTTCTGCCTGGGTCTTCCCACTTCCCACGTGGTCCAAGTCACCGGCCTTTTGTTTAGATTATTGCCACAGTCTCCTAACAGGTTCCTCGGCTTTCATGTCATCTCAACCCAGGATCCAAAGATTCTTTTAAAACGTGAATTCGGTCTTGTCATTGTTCAGCTCTCCCATCTCAGGATACTACATGATCCTCCCCCGCCCCCCCCCCCCCATTGCTTCTCAGACCCCACATCCTGTTTGTCTCCCTCAGTCACTCCTCTCCAACTACACTGAGCTCCTTCCCTGCTCCTTGAACTTCCCATGCTCTCTGCTTCCTCTGCCTAAGAAAGAACTGCTTTCAGGCATCTTCATGGCTCAGTCTCGTCCTTCCTTTCTTTCTTTTTTTTTTTTTTTTTACAGCCCACCCACGTCCCCCATTCAGATCTTACTCAAGAACATCTCAGTCAATTTTTACCTGACTTTATTTAAAATAACACCCCCACCCCTATACCAACACTGTATCCCTCTTCTCTGCTTCATTTGTCTCCATTATTCTTATTACCATCTGACATTCAGTAGATTTTATGATTAATTTGTTAATTAATCTCCCTCCCCCACTAGAATGTAAGCTTCTTGAGGACAGAGGCTTTCCTCTGTTTTATTCACTGCCGTCTCCCCAGAGTCTAGAACCATGTGTGACATGTAGGAACTTAGTATCTGTTGCGTGAATGGACGAGTGAGGTAGTCTTAGTGCAGTAATTTTCATAATCTCATTCAAAGTCCCAATGTTAGAGTATCAGCTGACCAGGAGATTATTTCTGAGATGCTGAGGAAATTACTAGGGCTGCATCTAAGTTGTCAGTGTTTTCCAGATGAAAAAAAAACCAATATGGTGTGTATATAAATAGAAAGATGCATTAAAAGAATTGGCTCATGCGATGGCGGAGGCTGAGAAGTCCCAAGATCTGCAAGGTGAGTCGGCAAGCCCGAGGACCAGGGGACTCACTGGAGCAGGTCCAGTGAAAGACCACAGGCTCGAGACTGAGGATGAGCTGATGTAGGGGTTTAAGCCTGAAGGCAGGAGAAAGCCAAGTGTTTCCACTTGAAGACAGTCACGGGACCAATTCTCTCTTACTTGTAGGGGGGAAGTTCTGTTGATTCCTTCCACTGAATGCATGAGGCTCTTCTACATCAGAGAAGGGCAATCTGGCACTCAGTCTACCAATTGGAATACCAATCTCATGCCAGAATGATGTTTGACCAAATGTCTGAGCACCTGGTGGCCCAGTCAAATGGACACATAAAATTAACCATAGCAGTCAGACTTTTTTAATTCAGAAAAGATTGGGTATAGTAATTTTAATCTGCATTCCTCTATAGGATTGACTGTAGGGAGTCTACTCAAAACAATAGAGGCCGCTACTGTTTTAGATATTCGGGACCTGGAAAATCGTTATGATTTACAAGTGACACATTGATAAGATTAAAAACAAAAAAATTTGCTTGCATCAGCTAAATTGAGTTATTCTAATTTAGCTTTCTTCCTGAAGCTAACTGGGATCATGGCTTTAGCTCCTTCGGCTTAACGGTGTTTTATCTTTTCTGAACATGAGGAATGTTTTTCTTGTCTTATTTGTGGAGAATGCTTGGAAGTAGGGTGCTTGTTATTCCAGATTAGTGGACACGACAGTAGAAAAATCACCCTAGCCTCTTTGGCTTTGACTTCTTGTAGCTCTGATCTGTAGATTAGAGACCCCTAGAATGTTCCCTGTTCCATGTGGTTAACAGAATTCATATTTTTTACCCACCAGGCAGACAAGACCCGATTGTTTATGACAAACGGCTTGACCCACCACAGTAGCTATTGCACACACCGAGGCTGGAAAGGCCAAAGCCACAGATGAACTTCTGCCCAATTCAAAGATCCGGAGGCTCCTGGCTTTTGTGCATAAACACACAATGAATGAAAGAAGCCCCTCAAGTCTGCATCGGAAGCCCGTGCCTTCACTTTCCGTAAGTCCCAGCTCACGTGACATTTCTTGCTTAATTGCCCTTTAAACTGTTTTATGGCTTTATAGCAGCCTATAAAAGGTGATTTCCAAATATGACAAGTGCTGCAAGGCTGAAGGGGAGAGTTACCCTTCCCAAGAGAGGGGTGAGGAGCTGCCCGAGAGCGAGGCGCCATGGGGCGATACTCGGGAAGAAGCTTCCGGTTAGTCCTCCTGTGCGCGGTGAGCGTCCTCCTGTTTGTGATGGAGCTGGTGATCGCCCACATAGGCAACTCCCTCTCCCTGGCCTCCGATGCCTTCGCCGTCCTCTCCCACTTTGTTTCCATGATCATTGCCTGGCTTGGCGTGAGGGCCAGCAGGATAAAACGGCACAGGAAGAGCACTTTCGGCTTTCTCCGGGCAGATGTGGTGGGAGCGTTTGGCAACTCCATTTTTGCCGTGGCTCTGATGTTCAGCATCCTGGTGGAAGCTGTCAAGAGGTATATCGATCCCCAGAAGACAGAGGAGCCACTGCTGGTTCTCAGTGCTGGAGTTATTGGCCTCTTCTTCAGTGTCCTTAACTATGTCACCTTGGACTGCTGTTACTGTACGGCACACAGGCCCCAGGGAGACACTAAAACAGGTAAATAGCTCCTTAGATGTTATAGCAGATGTGGTCAGCCTCGTGGCTGGTGCTGTCTGCGGGGGCCTCTGACGGTGCTTTTGAGACAGGCCCAGCTCGTTTGGTCGGCCTCATGTCCATGACTTCACAAAAGATCTTTCTCAAAGGAGTTGCTTCCAGGCCAAATTTCCTGGTAAGCTGGGTGGCCACAAGCCGCTTTGATCTTGGGGGCTTTAATTTTTAGTCACCAGGAATGAAAAGTGTTCAGAGAGGTAGACAGGGAGTAAAGGTACTGAGCAGAGCCATGAAGGGAGCAATTTGAAAGAAAGCGGATGTGGCATTGAAAACAGTCTCCTTTAATTAGTGGCCAGATGCGACACGGCTGTGTTTGAATTTAAAAATAATATTTTAGAGTCCCCATAAAATATGTTTAAGAAAATACTGGGCCCTCTAACCAGCTGATATCAAGCAAAGGGTCAAACAAGTGTCTTGGCTGACAAATTCATAGGACTATATACTGGAAGAATTTACAGAAAATGGGGAGAGAAAAAATAAAGGAGATGATCTAGTGAACTTAGTTCTTTTTAAGATGGAAATATTTGTACTTATTGTGTGCATCCATTCTATTTGACAAAAAGAAAAACTATTTACACATGAAACTTTTGGAAGGGCTTAAGAGTGGGTTCCACTCATTGGTCATCTGTCAAAAAATGGAGTTAAATCTTGGGAGAGAGCAGTTGACTCTAAAGCAATGGATCCAAATGATAAATCATTAGATGAAAATGTTTCTTTATTCCTACAGTAGGAATTAAACATATATATAAAGAGCTTCTTGCAGAAGAGAGAAATTTCCAGTGCTTTTTAAAAGAGTCCCATAGCATGAACAGACCAGGTTCAAATCATGGCTTTACCCCAGGGCAGCATTCGAGTTAGCTCAGCTAGCCTGTCTGCCCACAGGTAATATGAAAGTAGGAAGCACCAAGTGAGATCCTGAGTGTTTAGCACTTAACAGACAGTTGGTAAAGAGTAACTTGTTTTTTTTTAAAAATCACAATGCATGGGGCGCCTGGGCGGCTCAGTCGGTTAAACTCTCAGTTTTGGCTCAGGTCATGATCTCATGGTTTGTGAGATCAAGCCCTGTGTTGGGCTCCGTGCAGACAGTGTGGAACCTGCTTGGGAATCTCTCTCTCTCTCTCTCTCTCTCTCTCTCTCTCTCTCTCTGCCCTTCTCCCACTCTCTCTCACTCAAGATAAATAAACTTAGAAAAAAATCACAATGCAAGCCTTTGAATTATGTAATAATCCAGTATTATTGAATTCTAATTGCTCATCTGAATTTGAAGAAATTTTAAGATTTTCCTTATTTGATGCTCATCAGTTTTCTCTGGGTTTGCATTTTTCATTTTATTCCTTCTGCCTTTGCTCCCAGTGTAAATTATGGCCGCTAGGTCCAGTCTTTTATGCTATCTCTGTCTAAATTTCCCGATTAGTAGAATGTATGTTATGAGAGCACCTATAGTATGTATTAAGGATAAAAGGGAACAAAGAAGAAAATAGAACCTATATCTTTATTCAATTTAATGAATCAGTTAAAACCTTATCCTTTTAAAAAGACAATTAGTTAATTTGAGACCCTAAGCCTTGTTTACATCAGTCATCATGTAGAAATTATTACTTGAGACTCCAGATTATAAAATCCACATATCTGATGTAAGAAAAATATATTTCTTATTGCTAAGTATAATTTTAAGGCAAGGAAGTGGATTTCAAACAAATGGTTAGTTTCAGCTTTGGAAGTGTCATCATCACTAAACTTACCATTGTGTTTCAGACATATGATATATTTTAGGCAAAAATATACATACAATAAAAAAATTTTAGGCAAAAGGTTTGACTCTGACCAATGTGAGAATTGACAGACAAGTATAATTTTATTATTATAAATTGAATTATTGTCATATAGGTCTTAGATTAGCTCTTGTTTGGGAAGTGCTGCTTTCTAATGTTTATGTCCATGCTAAGACAACAAAAAGAGGCTTAAGACAAATATTTCACCCTGATCATATCAGTTTCTATTGCCTAAATTCCAGAATATCTATCTTCTTTTGAAGGGTTGGATGCTACACAATATTCTACTTTATACAATTAAGTACAGTGATAGGTATACACATAGAGCTAATGATTTAAGAACCACATTCTGTGTTCACTTTCTTTTGATAGCTTTTGGTATTGCATTCTTCTGGTAGAAATTTTAGAATGTGTAAACCCTCCAAGTAATTTTAGGATAGCTACTTTGTTTTGCATTTATTGAGTTATGTACTTAGCACTTTTAGTAAAACATACATTTTGGTATCTTTCCCATTACCTAAATAAGTTTAAAGTAAACATTTGGATGAATCTCAGAAACTGACATTACCCCATTTTAATTGTCTTCCATTTCAAGGAGAAATTGATTAATCCATACACATTAATTGATACCAGGAGGTATACAATATGAGAGAACAATGACTCTTGACTTCAGAAGATTTGACGTCCATTTAGGATAAAGGATTTCTGTATGCCTAGAACTCTAGCTTGCAGTGCTGTGGTCCCTCCTGTGTTAGTGATCAGAGTCAGGATAATCTATCACTGCTTCTGTGGGATCTGTGGCCAGAAAGGGTTTTTACTTAGCAAGTCTTCAGTCTCTTTTGGTTCTGTGGATCTTTAACTGGTTCTGCTGGATCCGTCTGATGTGGGAATTGTATCAGTTACATGTGCTGTCTGAGGTCATAGGAAAGTAAAACATAAGATCACTAACTCTAAATATTAATAGAATAGACTGTCTAAACTGTTAAGACTTTAAAATATCCGTGAGTTTCAAGGAGTAAGAAAGGTTGGAAAATCAGACAGATGGAGCTAGAAATTAAACAATAAAACAAAACAAACGAAACAAAACAAAACAAAACAAAAAACCCTGGGAGAAAAGAATGTAGAAGATTCAGCTGAAGGACCCCGGAAACCCTGGGTCAATCCCTCTCTGGCATGAGTCCATCCCTGACATGAAAAGTGATAGGGGAGCAGGTATTTTTGGCTAAAGTAAAAGGCAAAAATGAAAAAAGTAAAAATCACAAGCATGGAAGAAAAAACAAACAAGGGGGAAAGTCTGAAATGTAGATGGTTACATGTGTGTTTGGGGAAAGAGCAAGGGGTTAAAACAACACATAGATTCAGATCCCAAGAAATATGTGACACCAGCTTTCTTTCTCTAGACTTAAGGACTAAATCTGCTGTGCTTACAGTTTTTCCTACTCCTTGTTTCCTTGATTTTCCTTGACTTTCACATTGTCTTTTATGTTTTGTTTTGTTTTTAAAAGTTGAGTTTTCTTTAAAATATAACTACTGTAACTCTCTATGTACTCGCCCTATATTGAACAGATACCTTTATATACATTGGCCTTATTTTAAACCAAAGACAGTTTTGTGTAGATCTGTCTGGGATATATTAGCCTTGCCATTTATGTAATTTATAGGTGAACAATTTATATCTGAAATATCTGCTTATTACTTTTATTTTATTTTATTTTATTTACAAAATGCCTTTCCTTTGAATTTATTTAAATTGTTTTCGTTTTGAGTCCAAATTGTGTTCATTCTCTCTCTCTCTGTCTCTCTCCTCTTCCCCCCACCCCCCAGCCTCCTCCTCCCACCCTCCCTGTCCCTGTCCCTTTAGCCACCTTTCTGGCATTATGTTTCTCCAGCCAAATCGCTGGAGGCAGTGACAGCACAGTAATCAACCAGGCACGCTGTTGTGGAAGGTTGTTAACACACTGCTGATTGGTTGTTCTCACAAGCTTCTAATTTAGACTCAGTACTAGTTAAGACTCAATACCATAGCCTGATGGGAGCCTTTCACATGGACAGTCCTGTAGACCCTGAAAGCAAATCTGGTTTCCTTTCCTTGTAGAGCAAATTTGATCCAGAAACCAGCAAAATAAGCAAGGCTCTGAGAGTTTAAGGAGAGGCAAGGGGGAATCGGCTTCCTATCTCCCAGTAGCAAATACCGGGGAGTGAATAAGAGGTCAGAAACTGCACCATGGAACACAGCTTTCCAAACTGGAAAGGGAAAGTTTTCTGGGCAGAGCTTCCCTGAGTTCTCTGTCTAGTTCACAGGAATGATTGGGAGTTTACAATATTATTACATCATTTTAAGAATCATGCTTAATTCCCGAACCTGTTACTTTGCCACTTGTCCATGCCTGACGCTGTTGTTTTCCAAGCACTGTGTTGGATTTTGAACAATTAACTTCCACGTGAGGGTTCAGTGGTAAGTGTACACACACACACACACACACACACACACACACACACACACACACACACACCTATTGTAGATTACAGTGTCTCTCCCATGCTAGATGCTCCTTATATTCCCTTACATCTCTTTCCATGTGTTCATGACAGCTTGGTGAGCCCCTCCTCTCTCTTTTTGCCCAATTACAGCGTTCTGGGTCAGTTCTAGGGAGTGAATAAGAAAGATTAACAAAAGATTGAAAAATAGGTGCTATTTCACATTTGTGAAGTCAAATTCAACTGAAGGGGAAAAAAAAAAAAAAGAAGGGTAAACCAGTTCCTTGTTCTCAGCCATTTTCTTCTAACATGCAGAGGCTATTCTGATATCTGAGTTAAATGTTAATGAAAACCAAGTGTTTATTGACATCCATGGGTTGTCGGGCACTCGGGAAATGTACAGACAATAGTCACGGCACTGTGTGGCATACATTTGGAGAGCTCCATGTCTTATGAAATAATTAGAACGTATTGCATTGATTTGCAGAATTATATGTATTGTGACAGAATATTTGCTATTTCCATTTTACAGACAAGAAAACAGAGGTTGAGTCAGGTCCATGGTCATACAGGTAGTTCATGGTAGGGCACAAAGAAATTACAAGGTTGAGTCTAGGCCCTTAATTAAAGACCTACTCTGCTTCACCAAAACAAACAAACAAACAAACAAACAAAACAAAAACAAAACAAACAAAC